CTAGACTCCTGCGATTGCTATAAGTGATAAAACCATTCTTTGTCTGTGGGCAAGAGTCTCATGGACCCCTCTGGCATTATCTATGAAACTGTGGAAGGCAAACTTACAAGTTTGCAAGTGGGGTAAAATTACAGACCCTGCTTAGTTCTTAACAGGGGGGAGCGTTTGAATTCTAAGGTAAGGTTATTCACTATCATGCTACGAAGCGAGAACAGAAACTGAAGAATAAGAAAATGGATTGGGTTAATGACCTAATATAGCGATTCTCTTAACTTTTTTACATGCAAATTTCCTAAATGACCCCAATTATAGAGGGCAAATCTTTTGATATGTATGATATTAGAAATTAAAACTGAAAAAGTTTAAAACATTTAATTCATTTAAAAATGATGATACCACCCATGTGCCAAAAACAATGAAACGTTAAGCTAATGTCACCATAACTTATACAAAGGTGTAAATGGATCATGCAGTTAAATTAAAATGTAAAGGTATAAAATTTTCTGCTGAAAACACAGAAATTTCTTGTGACTTTGGAGTAGGCAGATTTCACAGGTACAAAAAAAAATCCACAATCCAAAAAAAGAAAGACCTATGGGACCTTTTGTTTTGTGAAACATATTATCACAACAACACTACAAAGTGAGAGAACATGTCCTCAAGTCATATGTTTGACAGAAAACTTGAACCCAAAGAACTCTCAAAACTCAGCAGTAACAAAACAGGAACCCAATTTTTAAAATGGGGCAGAATATTTAACACATTTCATCAAAAAGATATACAGATGGCAAGTTAGCACCTGAAAAGATATTTCATATCATCAGAATTAGGGAAATGAAAACAGAAAAACTGATGAGAAATCACTGTGTACACATTAGACCGGTGCTAATTAATTAATTAATTAATTGGCAGTGACAGTGGCAAGTGCTGATAAGGATGAGGAGCAACTGGAATTCTCACATATTCCTGGTGGGAATGCAAAATTGACAAGTCACTCGAGAAAGCCACTGGGAAGTTTCTAATGTAGCACATCTTTATGAAAATTAACTATATTATCAAAAACAAAAACATGAGTGAAAACAGTAAAACAGTCTTACAGTTTTTGTAAATCTCTTCATTCTCTAGCTTACTAGATGGCTTTATTCTCATCTGCTTCTGCGTTTACTCTGTTATGACACCCCATGTCAGAGTCTCTGGAAAACCCCGCTATAAGCTTGAAAGTAAACAAGAGTGAGAAAAGCTACTAATATCTTCACATGTTTTTGATCACCGTTTTGACTCTGTGGACCCCTGAAATGGTCTCAGGCATTTCCAAGGGTAGCTGGGCTACACTTTGAGAATCACTGGTATAAAACATTGTCCTAAGTTTCACTTACATCTTACAGCAACTTGACCTTTTTTTTCTATATCTTATGTCTCATATGTTTACTTAATGGCTTTATTCAAACTGGTGCATTTTTTAAACAAATATTATTTAAAGAGAAACTTTCTATAGCTCCTGTAAATAGAAAACCAGTACCGCTTTCCCATAAATAGACAGCAACCACAAAAATAAATAGCAATGAGTAACTTAAAATATATATAAAAACTTTACCCATGAACCATCTAAATTCATCTCTCATGCCACACTTTGGAAAACACCAACATAAAGAAGTAACAACTCTGCTATACTACTTTATTTTCATCAACCCATTGAATCTTGACAATTACTATAAGAGGTAGATAGTTATTATGACCTTTCCTCTTTTTTACATATGTAAAAAGATGGAAGCACAGGGAGAATAAAGAATTTGCCCAGTGTTCCTTAGAAAGTACATTCCAGAGTTGGGATTTGAACCCTGACACCTTGGATACTGTGCTGGTGGACAGGAAGTTGGATTTACATCCAAGCCCTGCTGTAACTGGGCACTTGGATGTGTCACTGAATCTCACTGCCCTCGCTGATAACATGAGGGAGGTGGAATGAGTTGGTGTGTGTAAATGTGAATGTCTGGTGCCTACCCAGAGACGGGCAGGTCAGGGAGAAATGGGCTGAATATCATGTCGTAGGGTCGGGTGGGATTTTACATCTTGTCTAAAGAAGGCATCTTGTGCTCAGTTTCAAGTGGTTTCTGTTGCTAGTTTTCCTTTTGTTTTTCTTGTTTTCTTTCCTTTGGTTGTTTTTTAGCCTTTGTTTTATAAGAGAAAATTAAAGTCTGAATTTCAAATTTTTAGAACATTTATAGGAGTCAGACAAACACATGGGCTGGGTAGCTTGTGAGTTTCTGACTGAATTATGTCCTCTGACTTTGAGGATCCGTGATGAAAGAAGCTGATTTTGCATCATCATAGAAACAAAACTCCAAATTATAGAAATAGTTTTAAACAATGCTAAAAGGGATAATGACTTTTAAAGTGTCTTAACATGGCCTACATAAATATTGGTGGAGAGCTGGGTTAATTGAAAAGTCAAGGTACATTAATAGAATAACAAAGTATATTTCTTTGTGTTCCTTTTGTGTTGTGTTAGAGTGAATCAGCAATATTTATCCAGTGCCAATTCTCAGTTTGCAGAGAGCTAATGTAATCATGAGATGAGCTTATTGAAATTCTTTTCTTAGACATAGAAACTTGCCCAAGAATGGTACATATTAGGAACTTTAGTACAAACTCACTCAGAATAATAAATATGACCATGTGATTTATGCCATTGTGTGTAGAAAGTAGTGTTTCCTGAGACCTTTTCTATATATATGTTGGCTGTTCTGTTCTTTGGGGCTGGTTTGTTCTTTCCCCCTCCTCTGCTTATCAGATTTCCTTTTAAATCCTGGCATTTGACAATGTTGCAAGGCCAGTTTCTCTGTGAAGCCAAAATAAAACATGCTGGAGGTTTCACAATTAATATACGCTTGGGATCAGAGTTTACATGTTTGTGGGAATTTCTACAGTTGTGTGTGTGAAGGGGGGGAGGGAGAGAGACAGAGAGAAGAGTGAGGACAGAATCTATAGACTAATTCTGGAAAGATGAGTGTGTTCATCAGTGACATCATAAGGATTGTATTTTCTCTTGGTTAATAAACTATTTGTTTCGCCGGTGGTGTAAGCCAGCCAGAACTAGTCATGCTATTTCTTGGAAAAGCTCTGAAGCAACTGGTAATTGAAATGATAATCATTTGATCATAGAGCTATTTGAAAATCACATTCATCTCCAAACTTGTCTATTCTAGGAAACCTTATTTGGTCAAAATGCTGCCAAATTCCATCTTCACTAAAGTTGAGACTGATATACCATGCTACTGACTTATTTTCCAGTACATTCTAAACTCCATTTTTCGTATGCCCAGTCCTGAAGCTGTTCCCATATGCCTTGAAACAATACCCAGGCTGAATTTTTATTCTGACATTTAATAATCACCATGTAATAGCTATAAAATGCATGACAACTACAGATCTTCTATTTCAAGAGGATGGTGTGGCAAGTCGGGGTGAAATCATCCACTGAAGTGGTATTTTGTAATATGCCCCACTGTTTATCTCATATTGAAATTTTTTCTTGAGGAGAGGATAAAAACACAGTTTCCACTTTGTCTCCTCTTTACTGGAAGTTCATATTTGATCATGATAAGAGAAGGGATTCCATTACCCAAGTTCTACATTTCATGTTTGATAGAGTATTTATTACTGTCTTGCTGCCTAACAAGCCTTCTCTCAGAAGCAGGTTGGAACTGAATGAGGAGAAAGGAAATCTTAGATCCTACCTTAAAGTATTTTTAAAAACTAAATCTAGGGCTTCTTTGTGTGTGGAGCGTATCTTTATAAGTCCTCTTTGTGTGGAGCAGTGTGTGCAGTGACGTTTGTGGGGGGGTGAGTGTGCGCGTGTGGGTGTGTGGCGGAGGAAGGAGTTAGCGTCATGTTTAACAGCAAAATTAGCCCAAATCACTTGTGGATTCCTTTTGTATAATAGCTTAGAGACATCTTCCTGTTGTTGTTTTGTCAAAAATATTTCGAAGATTTTGTAAGCTTAGGGGTTTTCACAGCTAAGCTTTCTTCAGAAATGTGAAATAAAATAAATGAAAGAAGTCAGTTCAAGTTGAAATGCCAAATTCTTCAAATAATTTAACTTAAAAGCCAGTGAGATGATCTTCATAAGCTTTTTTTCCAAAGAGCCTTTGGGTGAGGGGGCCTCTCTTTGTTCCATGTGTGGATATCTATTACATATCTTGCTGGATTATTCTTCAGGAGAAAGTTGGCTATTTCCTGGAAGCAATTAGAGATGCTTAAAATTCAAATTTATGGTCCATAGGAGGAACTTAAGTTTCAACTACTTTTCTTAGCTTCAAATACTTTCTCCTCACTCGCCCTCTCACCCCCTACCCCATACGTATTAAAAGAAAAACTCGGTTCATTTCTCAACTTACAAAGGTTTTGAGAAACATGAGAATGTGTAAGTTTCTTTCAGTGGGAAGCACATAACATTTATGAAGTATTTCTTTTGGGATTACATCACAGTTTTATTTAATTTTTAGGACAAAAGTTAAATTCAATATTTGTGTATAAGCCAAGGGAAAATGTACCATAAACATAGGAATTTTAGGGTGAGTCAGAGTTCCAAGAATCTTAGATTTACTTAGAACATTTATATGGAGACAGGCTAACCATTAGTCACCCAGCCTTCACTTTTTACATTTGTAATTAATTGCACCTAAAAATCTGCTTTCACCCAAGTGGTTAAATAGGTAGAGGGAGCTTTGCAAACACTATTCAAAATGGCAATAGAATTACTACCCTATTTTTGGATACTTTATAACTGTAACAAATACGTACTATAAATTATTCTTTAAATATCCAGCAACAAAAGCCAGTGAAATGAAGTAAGTTATCAGAGATTCTTGGATACCAAAACCCACAGTCTATTTGGGAAGGTTAAACCATTCACATGGCAGTTCAGGGGAGCTTTGGGGAGACTGTCGTTTACCTCAAACCCATAACTAATGTTTTTTGTTCCATCTCATCTCTCGTAGGATGAAGTCATTGCTGTTTCTGAAAAGGTGATTGTGAAGCTTGAAGACCTGGTCAAATGGGTACATTCTGATTTCTCCAAGTGGAGATCTGGCCTCCAGGCTGGGCCAGTGAAAGCGGAGGCCTTGGGGAGAAATGGACAGAAGGAAGCTCTGCTGAAGTACAGACAGTCCACCCTCAACAGCGGACTCAACTTCAAAGATGTTCTCAAGGAAAAGGCTGACCTTGGTAAATACAATTCACACTTCTAAACTGAATGTATGGGTGAATATAGTAAGCTTTTCTTGTCATAGGTTTTTCTGGAAGCTGTGTCATATAATTATACATACACACACATCCACACATACAGAAACGCACACACTTATTTGCCCTCAAAGGGAACTCAGGATACAGATGGAGAGAAAACTTGTAGGTGAGGAGTGAGTGTTGCCTGTTGGATCACAGACTTCTGTGTATTGACTCCTGTACCAGGTGATATAATGCATAGCATTAAACAGCTTCCAATGCTCTACCAAAACAAAAGACTTCCTTAGGGCACCTGAAATTGGATTAATGAAGACTTTGAGCACTTGCTACAAGGAGTCAGTATAACATCTACTAATACCATGCCAGAATTTCATGTTTTATAGTGGATGGAAAGCAAGGTGAGAGACAACCTTGGGCACACGAACCATTTGTTGGCATTGATGGCATAGATTTCCTTGAACTTTTAGCACCCAGTGGTCAGCCAAGTAAACGACCTAAGGTCAGCTGCCTAAGTTTTTCTTTCCTTTCTTCTCTTTCTCGATATGTATAAAGAACTTGTGCTTTGGTGTTATTCATAGTTAGGCTCTGTAATGTTCTGATTAGTGTTTGAACACTAACACTTGCTCTGCTGGGCAGCCTTAGGCTAGTAACTTAACCTCTAACCTCAGTTTCCCCATATAAAAATAAGTCATTGTGAGCTGAAAGATCTAGCACAGTGATGACAGGCAGGAGGGGCTCCATAATTAATTCTGTTGCTCTAACACTTCCTTCTTCAGTGACTTTTGTGTCCTTTCCCTGTTCTTTTCCTTCTGTTTGCATCCCCTTGTGGGCTTTACTGTTGTACTCTCCTAGTATTGCTCAAGACTGAAGTTGTTGACCTCTGATTTAGACCAGTTATTTCCTCTTTAGACAAAGAGGAACTTCATTTTTAACATATTAAGGCATCTTTTTTCTTTCACTCTAGCACAATGCTGATTTTCATAGCCCTATTTTATGTCTTAATGTGACAACTTCCTGTTTTTTTGTTTTAACCTAGAACTCAGCTATTACAAGAAACCCAGATGATTTATTTTAATTGGCATAAAGAAACTGAATAACACCAGTAACTGACTGTGTCTTTCACGTGATTCTGGTTTATGATGAGCTGTGCTGTGGGGGGGGGAGCATTAATATTTTCTTGCAGTTTAACAGTCAACAATTTCCTGGCATCTTTTGCTGTATGTCAGACAGTAATTTTGGACACGGCACCTTGATAGTTATGTGTACAATTAGAAAAAATTATTAAACTAATGCTCTTCCTTCTCTAGAAAAAAAAGTACAGTTTTCTTACATATACTGTCACATGTCCCAGTTTTGTGAACATACAATGACCATTCTTATCATGTGTGAAAACGCTCAATAATATCTGTGTTGCCTGCCTAATGCATGGTCTAAGTTGCATTGCCATTGTCTTGTGCTTTTTTCTTTAACATTAAAACCTTTCTTTGTTTGAGTTTTTCTGAGTTATGGAATATACTGTTACTAACAAAAAATTAAACAGGAAACCCATGGGGGAACAAAAGGATGTGTAGATGGTTAAGCTTGATGTGACACTTATAAACAGGAGTATTTATAGCCGGGTTCTTTCGTGTTTCAAAGGAATAGTTTACTAACGACACTTAAAAAAAAAAAGGGAAACAGTTTGTTATTGTGATCAAAAGATACAGAAATTTATTCTTCTTGAAATGTAAAAAATGTCCATAATCTACGTTTTTTTGCAATTGATTTTAGAAGAAATGGGTTTATAGTGAATATTCAAAGTACTTGCGGGCGGTTTGGTCTGGAAAATCTAGAGATTAGTAGTTTGTAAGTCTAGTTGCTCTCAGGACTCACCAGGGGAATTTACCGAGTCCTGCTCGCCCAGATTCTTCTCAGTGACAGAGGCAAGGCCAAGGACTGTGCAGAGATAAAAGAATTACTAGGTGATTCGGACTTTTTTCTTTCTTTTTTTGGTGTCACTTGGGAGACATCTCTACGATGAGTGCTGAGGAAGAAGTAATCAAAGGAAGACTAGATTGGGAGGCTTTCATGAGCAAGAAACACCATGTACCTTTTCTTTTTTTAATGCAAAATACCCCTTTAAGGATAGAATTTAGAGCCTTGAAATTCTACTCAGTTGGTATGAACTGCGGGGAATTTGAGACAAATGGCTTTTGTCACTGGAATGCACACTGTGTTGTAATAATGTAGAAAGAGAAACAAAAACTTTCCTTAATGTAATGAGTTTCCACTATCTGCCTGATCTAAAGTTTGCAAGTCACCCTTGTCAGGATTTATCCCAGGGAGAGAGGGAGTGTCATTGCACACAATCCTGGCCCGGCGACTTTTTCGTCATCCTCTTCCCTTCTCTGTGTGTAACATCAAAATATTTGTTGTCTGTACTTTTCTTTCTACACAGTGGTTTCCTTATCTCTTCTTGTCTTGGCCACACTGAAACCACCTCTAGTCTCACATTGTTCATGGCAGTTCACACACTTATTAGGTTTTTCCTTCTCTTAGAACCTTTCATTGTTCTTACCAAAGAAAGATGAACTGGGAGATTACTTCAGACCCTCCCCTTCTTTTGCTGGGGGAAGCAAGTAAAGAATGTAAAGATCTCACCTTTCTATGGATAAAGTAAAACTCCAACATGTTATTCAAAAAAAAAAAAGCTAAGTTATTTCATCCTGTCTAAAAAAAAAAATCAATAGTAACAAAAGAGTTAGGTTGACTCTCAAAGAAGGGATTTTAAAATATAAGAGCTAATTAAAGAACTCTTCTTGCTCTGTGCTTAAGTAGAATAAATTCCTTTTAATCCCAGTTTGTGTCACTTCCTGTCTCTCTCTGAGTAGTAAAAAAACAAAAATGTTCTCACAAATGTGTGCCTGCCAGCAAGTTAATACTCCACAAAGAGAAACTCTGCCCCAAATGGCAGCTTCCAATAACTGCTCTGATTCAAATCAGAACTCTTTCGATTTTTATCCCCTCCCCCCTGAAAGGAGAAAATTTGGACAAGATTTGAGGATGTACTAGTTAGAGATTTTTTTTAAATCTCTACAGTTTTTACTTAAGACCCTAAGTGTTTGTTGAATAAAACTGCCAATTTGGATATTTCAGCAACTAATACTCTTTAAAAAATTCTTCTAAACTGTGGTGAAGTACGTTCATTGTCTTCCCTCCTCTTTGTCCTTTTCAAAGAAAGTTAGTTCAATATGAAACTAGTGCAAAGTGGGACTTTACTGAGTGACGTGATTTACCTTCTTTCAGACTATTTCATACTAGTTTATTTAAAAAAAAGAAAAACAACTACGTTGAAATAGAAGGGTTAAAGAATGTATTATTCATAAGCATAATGAATACAAGAACCTGTTTTTCCAGAAGAATCAGGTTGATTAAATCATTCACTACACAAGCCTCTAGTTATTTATTTTTGTCTTTAGAATTACAGTACTTTGCTTTTGTAATAAAGTGGACTTGATACCCATATTTGGTATGGCAGTTGGAAGTAGTCAAATGAAGAGTTATTTTGTCTTACAAAATTTTTGGCAACTAAGGAGTATAAATACTATCACTGAAACATAGCAAACTTGCATTTTTTATTCCTTGGGCTATAGTTTGAAAAAAGCTCAAATTATTTTATGTAACACTGCTTCTTACAGAGTTCCTTTAAGTATGAAAGCTGCAGTGTAAGCTTTATTGGCCTATAAATATGTCATTATAGTCGGACTACATTTATATGCTTTGGATTGTTGTTTAAGCCAAGAAAATATGTCTCTACAGGTTGACTTTTTATTGAAACCCTTTGAGGCATACAACAAGATGTATTTTAGGCCAAGGTTATTAAAACAGCATTTTCATTTTTTTGCAGCAGACTCATTGTCAATTATGCCGCCACAAACTGTCTGTGGATGGGCAGTTATGAATGGTTTCATCTCCAAATATGTCTTTAGAAAAAAACATAAAAGATAGAAGAGTCTGAGCTGAAACTGAGAAAAGACCCAAAGAGTGTGTACGTGTGGGGGTGGGGAGCTGTCTGAATTTAAAGATGCTGGTTTCCTCAGCTCAATTTCTGGTTCTAAAGTCCCATCAAACTGAGAAAAGTGACTGCCCCTCTCCCTCCTGTTCCTGGCACTTTCCCCTGTCCGCTTCGGGAGTAGACAGCTCAGTGGTGTTGGAAAGGCAGGAGATAGGGCCCTCTAGAATCTTAGCTCTGCCTTGAGGCGGTTACACCCGGGAAAAAATGGCCAAAAGTCACTGTTTATACTTCCGGTTCCCGTGTGCGAAGCAGACAATATGGACCTTGCTTTATCACATAGAGTTCTGAGAACAAATGAGTCAATATCTATGGGAACATTCCAGACACTGAAGTCTAAATAGAGACTTCATTCTATTATTACCAGAAGGAAGTTCTCCATGATATGGAACTGTGTAGTATATTTTCTTATTTGTTCATTTAATGTCCTTGAATACACAGGTACTAGTGATTGTGAGCAGAGTTTACTCTCAATACTATCTCCCTAAATAGAGGACTATTGTTAAAATCCTTCAAGTGCTTCGTTATTTACTTTTATACAGTTATTTATGTGTACATTGTCTACATATAAAATATATTGTAATGTTTATATATTATTTGTATCTTTCATAAATATATTGAAATGTTATATGATATAATTAATATTTTATATATTTATATATTACATATTATATAACTTCTCTCCTTTTCAAAATTATGTCAGAATAAGTACTGGTGGCCAGTTGTGTGACTTCCCAAGGATTCTTTGTTAAAAGTTGACTGCAGTCTTTGCTGAGAAAGTCTTGAGACCTTGTAGTTCAAATGCTTGTTTCAGATCACTTCTGAGGCTGATATGTTTCACGGATGTGGTCGTGGAAAGGATTCTTTCTCCTTGTTGAAGAAAACAATATCAATGTTTTTAATAAGAAGCATATTAAGATGCTGACAATTT